GGTTTGGGGATGTTTTTCTGCAAAAGGTACTGGCAACATTTTTGTAATAGATGATAGAATGAATGACTCAGCATTTCAAAATATTTTGGTTGAAGTTCTTGAACTTCCTCCTGATTGGATCTTCCAATAAGATAATGATTCTAAGCGCACTGCAAAATCAACGAAGAAATGGCTTCCTGAAAATAATGTAAATATCCTGAAATGGCCAACTCAGTCCCCAGATTTAAACCCAATCGAGAATCTGTGGCGTTTTTTGAAAATTCAGATCCAACATCCGGGATCTGAAGATTATATGTGAAGAAGAATGAAAGAAAATACCAACTAAAATTTGCAAATAATTAATTCGGAACTACAAAATATTAAATGAAGACAATGTATTCTTTTTTGTATTGTACGAATAATTTTTCATCCATCAAAATGGATAAATTTGATCGATTTCAGTTTGTTTCTGTGTCCTATGCATAATTAGTTATTATTCATTTTATGTACAGTTAATTATAAGAAAAGTGTTTATTCATTAGTCGGAAATGCAAGAAACTTTGCATATGTACGAATAGTTGTCCCCCCCCCCGACCACTATATATATATATAGGATATCACTGTTTTCTTTTGTCGTTTTGTTGAACTTATATTTTGGAATACAATTTGATTTCCATAAGAAATTGTAGGCTATGATATGGATTGTCATGGAAGAGTTCTTTCATGTTGGCTAGTTCATCGTGTTTAGCGAGGTATTGAACTCACAGTCTTTGGGTCCTGTCACTAGATCTGATGAACGCCTTTATCCTTGAGGACATCTGTGTATGAATTTCTGGGTATTATAAACCTAATGTCTTTTTACCAGTGACAGGACCCAAAGAGTGTGAGTTCAATACCCGGTTAAGGCAGTGGAGAACTTTCAGAGGGAAATTATTAGGAGATAACTGATAACTGATATCCATTAAACATGTGGAACTAGAACAGTCTACCCCAGTGAGCGAAATAAAAGGTTCAGTTTGACATTTCAACCACCTGAAGAAGGCCGGAGCATACAACAGCCGAAACGTAATAAATATGGCGACAGAGATAATAATAGTCCGAATAATGTAAAAAATTACCAATCTCGTTAGTCGAAATGCCTTTCCGCGTCCTTGCGGGTGATGAATTATTTCCCAACCTACAACCCCCTTTCTCACAAACGAGACGTCGCAAGCCTGTCGCTGCTCTATGGATATTTCCATGGAACGTGTTTAGCTGAACTACACTCCTTGGTTTTACCAGTTCTAACTCACACAGTTAAGACCAGCCATGCCACGCGAACCCCCCCCCCTCGTACACCATTGGTTAGATGTAAATTCTTCGCATCAACCGCTGCTATTTGGAATTGATTCTCAATAGACTACTTCCCCTAACGCTACAATCCTAACCTGGTCAAGTCAAGGGTTAACCGTTATCTTCCACACATCGTAAGACGCCCCGCTCATACGGCTATGTAACCCTACACCTCGAGTAGCCCTCGCATAACATCATTGTCAAAACAAAAATACATCATGATGAAAGTCTAGGACAATTCCATTCCTTCCCCGAGCATGCCTCTCTGCTAACATGGCTCGTTAATCCCCGTTGCAGACTTTTTCTCAGACACGTTTATGCCTGTTCAATACCTGTGGTTTATACTGCAATAACGCTTAGCGGATTTTGGTTACATTTTCTGGGAGGGAGCACATAATCTTGGATAATCAAAAAAATCTGATGATCAACAATGACAGTCCGTTTAAACCCTCGGTCACGATGACTTATAACTTCTTGCTAACACAACCATCGACAACTATCGAACAGTTTTAATAGGCTGGAGTCAATGCGCGGCATGTTTTTCAGGTTTTCCCAATGGTACTGCACGATGGGGTCGTTTTCCCCAGGACAATATTATCACGAATCAGCAGGTTGACATATTGCTCACAGGGACTTATCGAAACCCGTATCTCCATGTCGGATTGCTAACATTATAACCACACGGGCACTCACCCTTTTTTGACATATTTTATATTAAGGATAAAAAAAATTCTAATGCACTTTTGTGGGGGTTACCATAACCTGTGGATGTGCCATTTTATATTTTGAATTTTCTCTTCTCAATCTGTTACTAATTCTAGAAAGGAGTTTAAATCTACATTTTATTAGTGCTCTCTCTCTCTCTCTCTCTCTCTCTCTCTATATATATATATATATATATATATATATATATATATATACACGTTTCATTAAATAATATAGACAAGTGTTGTCTATTTATTTTATGTAAAATTTGTTCGTAACATCTGATAAGTTTGATAACATTATCATTAAACGAAGAAAGAAATTCACAATATTGATCTATATTTTTTTAATTTTATCTAAGCTTTCGGCTTACTTAAGCCATTATCAAAGATGTAAATCACAAACATATTAAACAATATACGGACACGACAGTGATGATAGTCTGTCATTGTTTACATAGTTAATCACTAAGCAACGATAAACACGCGCATATAAGACGCTAGAAGCGAAAATCGCACAGCATCTCATGACGTCACACATGACTACACGAGAGTGAATTGGAGAATGAAGTATGGGAATATGATAGCTGAATCTACTGCAAGGAACGTTGGATCACAGTGCAGTCAGAATCCCTTTGCACATTTACAAATCAACCATTCGTCCAAGCATTGAATAATGCTGCCATATCTGGTCTAGTGATCCCGATCCTCATCTCGAAGTTCTTGACAAAATCCAAAGAAGGATGTGTAATATAAACGATCCTGACTTGGCATCTCGACTTCAGTCACTTTCTCAAAGATATGGCTTGGCTTCGTTCTGTCTTTTCTACGAATATTTTCATGGCATCTGCACGGAAGAGCTTTTTTACCCTGGTGCTTCAACTCCATGAATTTAATCCTGCTACTAGATTGGCATCTTGGTCTCATCCATTTACTGTTGAAATTGTTAAATGCAACTGTCACTTCTACTTTCTACTCGAACTTCCCACCTGTGAAACTCCCTTCCGTTTACTTGCTTCCCTGATAGCTAAAATCTTCAAAAATTTAAATGCAACGTCAATCAGCATATTATGTCTTCTTGAATCCCGTTAATCTTTTGACCTTTCCTCAATCCTCCCTATACTCAGCCTTTTCCCACACTTTCTGGGTTCCCTTGCGTACTAGTGACATTTCCAACTTGCTTAGTTTAAATTGAAATATATATATATATATATATATATATATATATATATATATATATATATATATATATATATACAGGTAGAAATGTAAAAGGAAAACTGAAAGACTGAAAACAGAAAGTGGCCATTGCCACACATATAGCCTGATAAAGGTGTCGTACCAAATGAACTGAGATTATGTCAGGGTGCAGGCATTTAAGTAAATATTTTGAGGTACCTATGAACCCGGATGAGCGAAGTAAAATAATTATTTTTCTCCCTCTTTTCCTAACTTACATTTTCCCCTCTCTCGCCTGCTCCTATCCTCATACTTTTACCCTCTCACTACCATTCTACTATAAGTGACTTTGGTCTGAATAGTGAATATTTTCGATATTCACGAAATAAATTACAACCAAAATGAATAATTCATTTTTTTCTTCATGATTATTATTATTTTATTATTATGCACTGTAGTCTACATTGAGCTCTCCCTGGGTTAATATCATCCTTGGAATCAACCCTACCAGTCATAAACTGGTAATACTTATACTTATATATCAGGGATATACAGATATTGCCTACTTTGTCAGTGATAAAGATGTCATTCGTGCTATGGGTGAGGAACTTCCCTATGACGATACTGGGAAACAAAACCCTTCTGCAATATCAACAGTATGTCTGGATGAAAATGTGTCAGTCTTAAAGATCTGGAGTCATTTTGATCTAGAGAGATTGAAAGCTGTGCAAAACGTTTGTGTAGCCTTGAGATCATCAGCGCAGCGATTGTGTGAGCTGTGTAGGCAAGACTTGAAAAACATGGGTTCTGCTGATAAATAAATGATTTTATCTTGTGTTTTAACAATTGATGGTGGATAAGATTTTAGATTGCTTTAATAATTGATGGTTAAAATTAATAAACTTCTGTGTTAAATCTGATTATTTTTATTTTTAACATTACCTGCCTTCACAATAATAAAAAAAAAATATTTACCGGCAATTATTTACTGGAGCTCTTATTTTACCCAAACCGGTAAAATAGCCACTTCCTTTATTGTTCGCGCTTCGGGTACTTTATTCACGGCACGTCTTAGTCCGGGAAGACGAACCAGTTTTAAATAGAGATCGGGACAAGATAGAAGCTTTCCGAACAGCCACACGCCGAGGCAGGCGTTCGACAACGTCATCTTCAGTCTCGCAACAAGTCAACCTGCCTATTCGTCAATAGAAATTAATATTCGAGTTGAATACAATGAGATCGCCAGATGAGGTGGTAATTTGCTGTTCCCAAAATAACAGCTAAGGGAAAATAAAAATACAATAAAATAGAATGAATAAAAAGATATGAATAAATAAATACAACTTTATTCATCGTTTGCTAGTCTGTTCCTGACTAGTTAAATTACGTGATAAAAGCCACGAACGACGGCCTCAGTCACTCCTTCATTTCCTTGACATATTATTATAGAATGTTTAGCACTCTCGCTCTTTTTCTCTTCCTTTCCCTCTCTGTTTAGCTCATACCTCCTCCCTCTATCTCTCGCTCACTCTTTAATGGTCTGCTTATCAACAACTAATTCTTTCTTTCGTTCTCTCTCTCTCTTTGTGTCCCTTTCTCTCTCTTAGTCTCTTTTCCTCTATCAGTTTATCCCTACCATTATCTCCTTTTTTTTTTCTCTGTCTTTATCTTGCTTTATCATCTTATGGTGGTTTTCTAAGCGTAGCTCAGATGTGGCACAAGGCCGAAAGTATGGGGCACCCAGTGAGGATCGAACTAACCCTCTACCTTCTTATCAGTCGCCCACTTTTTCTCCCTGTTTAAGTTATGAGTATCAACATCTTTCTTCCTTTATTTTTACTTTCTTTTTTTATTACTTCTCATTTCTTCTTTCTTTTTTACGTTCTTTCTCTCTTTCTTTTTTTTACTTTCGTTCTTTCTTTCTTTCTTTCTTTTTTACTTTCGTTCGTTCTTTCTTTCTTTTTTACTTTCGTTCTTTCTCTCTTTCTTTTTTACTTTCGTTCCTTCTTTCTTTCTTTCTTTTTTACTTTCGTTCCTTCTTTCTTTCTTTCTTTTTTACTTTCGTTCTTTCTTTCTTTCTTTCTTTTTTACTTTCGTCCTTTCTTTCCTTTTTTTACTTTCGTTCTTTCTCTCTTTCTTTTTTACTTTCGTTCTTTCTTTCCTTTTTTTTACTTTCGTTCTTACTTTCTTTCTTTCCTTTTTTTACTTTCGTTCTTTCTCTCTTTCTTTTTTACTTTCGTTCTTTCTTTCCTTTTTTTACTTTCGTTCTTTCTTTTTTTCTTTCCTTTTTTTACTTTCGTTCTTTCTCTCTTTCTTTTTTACTTTCGTTCTTTCTTTCCTTTTTTTACTTTCGTTCTTTCTCTCTTTCTTTTTTACTTTCGTTCCTTCTTTCTTTCTTTCTCTCTGTTTTTACTTTCGTTCGTTCTTAATTTTTTAACTTTCGTTCTTTTTTACTTTCGTTCTTTCTTTCTTTTTTACGTTCGTCCGTTCTTTCTTTTTTTACTCTCTTTCCTATTTTTGCTTTCGTCCTTTCTTTCTTTTTTATTTTTATTCTTTCTTTACTTTTTTTTTTACTTTCGTTCCTTCTTTCTTTCTTTTTTACTTTCGTTCTTTCTTTCCTTTTTTTTACTTTCGTTCTTTCTGTCTTTCTTTTTTACTTTCGTTCCTTCTTTCTTTCTTTCTTTCTTTCTTTTTTACGTTCGTCCGTTCTTTCTTTTTTTACTCTCTTTCCTTTTTTTTGCTTTCGTCCTTTCTTTCTTTTTTACTTTTATTCTTTCTTTACTTTTTTTTTTTACTTTCGTTCCTTCTTTCTTTCTTTTTTACTTTCGTTCTTTCTTTCCTTTTTTTTACTTTCGTTCTTTCTCTCTTTCTTTTTTACTTTCGTTCCTTCTTTCTTTCTTTCTTTTCTTTCTTTTTTTACGTTCGTCCGTTCTTTCTTTTTTTTCTCTTTTCCTTTTTTTTGCTTTCGTCCTTTTCTTTCTTTTTTACTTTTATTCTTTCTTTTTTTTTTTTTACTTTCGTTCCTTCTTTTCTTTTTTTTTACTTTCGTTCTTTTCTTTCCTTTTTTTTTACTTTCGTTCTTTCTCTCTTTCTTTTTTACTTTCGTTCCTTCTTTCTTTCTTTTTACGTTCGTCCGTTCTTTCTTTTTTTACTCTCTTTCCTTTTTTTTTTTGCTTTCGTCCTTTTTTTCTTTTTTACTTTTATTCTTTTTTACTTTTTTTTTTTTTTTTTTTTCGTTCCTTCTTTCTTTCTTTTTTTACTTTCGTTCTTTCTTTCCTTTTTTTTTTTACTTTCGTTCTTTCTCTCTTTCTTTTTTTACTTTCGTTCCTTCTTTCTTTCTTTCTTTCTTTTTTACGTTCGTCCGTTCTTTCTTTTTTTACTCTCTTTCCTTTTTTTTACTTTCGTTCGTTCTTTCTTTCTTTCTTTCTTTTTTACTTTTGTTCTTTCTTTTCTTTGTTTTACTTTCGTTCCTTCTTTCTTTCTTTTTTACTTTTGTTTCTTCTTTCTTTTTTTACGTTCGTCCGTTCTTTCTTTTTTACTTTCTTTCCTTTTTTTTACTTTCGTTCTTTCTTTCTTTCTTTTTTACTTTTGTTCTTTCTTTTTATTTTTTTACTTTCGTTCCTTCTTTCTTTCTTTGTTTTTTACTTTCGTTCGTTCTTTCTTTCTTTTTTACTTTCGTTCTTTCTTTTCTTTTTTTACTGTCGTTCTTTCTTTCTTTTTTACTTTCGTTCCTTCTTTCTTTCTTTCTTTTTTACTTTCGTTCCTTCTTTCTTTCTTTTTTACTGTCATTCATTTTTTTCTCTCTGTTTTTACTTTCGTTCGATCTTACTTTTTTAACTTTTGTTCTTTTTTACTTTCGTTCTTTCTTTCTTTTTTTTTCTTTCTTTCTTTCTTCTTTAATTTCGTGCGTTCTTTCTTTTTTTTCTTTCGTTCTTTCCTTCTTTCTTTCTTTCTTTCTTCTTTACTTTAGTTCGTTCTATCTTTCTATTTTCTTTCTTTCTTTTAAATCTCAGCATCATGCTCACCTCTTACTTTCTTTCTCTATTAGTCTTATTCCCCCTTCATCTTCCTTTAACTACTCCTTCTCAACAACCTGCTCTCTTTCTCTCTCTTTCTTTCTGTTAATCCCTTCTTCCTCGATTTTATTGTTGCTTATATCTAAACTTCGTTCTCTCTCTCTCGCACTCATTCTCTCTCACTCTCTCTCTCTCTCTCTCTCTGTTTCTTTCTTATGTTTTCTTTTTCTTTCCAAATCAGAACAAGTGCCCTTAATTAGCTATGTTTGTTTAATTACGGTGGGTGCAAGTCTACCAACTCGTCTGACAGGGAGTCTTTTGTTTTGTTTTTTGCTTGGGGGGTATTTTCCGGTGTCATTTTCATCTCGAATGCCAACTACTGACGAAAAAGAAAAATTTTTTTAAAAAAAAGACCAGATTCGAAATTCGTCATAAACAATTTTGGCTACTTTTTTAATTGTATCACCCTACGTAAGGCGATAATGCCACTAAGACTAAAAAAACGCGGACAGTCAAAGAGAATGTGAAGAGAAAGGACAATAAAGTAACAGATTTAAATTTACTAGTAATTTGAAATTAAATCTAGTAGTACGTCTAACTTAATGTGGTTGAGGCACCAAAGACCAGACTACATTAAAATAATTTCCATGAACATATTTATAGAAAAGACAGAGAGAAGCCAGATCACGGTTGGGGGGGGGGGTTAGTGACGAAAGTCGAGATGCCAGGTTAGGACCGATAAAATTACAAACCCTTTTACGGATTTTGTCGAGAATCTGGAGATATATAACAAGGGCACCAGAACAGATATGACAGCAATATTTTGATGAAAGTTTTCTTTAGTTTTTTAATCATTTCACCCCCAAGCAAGGCAATAAAGTCTCTAAGACGTAACGGGGTTACTGAGTGTGACAGAATATGAAAAAAAAAAAAAGAAACAGACATTAAGGAACCAAAAGTTAATTACTGACATTAAATTTAAATTTTTGAAGTTCAAAGTTGGCCGGAAAGCAGCCTGAAGAGAGTTCCACCAGCGAGAAGTGCAAGAAAAGAATATGTTAGCATAGAACTTACGGTTACATCTAGCCATTTCTCTTTTAAGGGATGAGACCTTCCCGCCAATCTAGTAATCCGCTTAAATTCATAAAGTCTGGATGCCATAAAGGAAAGTGATATTTATTCTGTTAAAATACAGAAATGTGGCACAAGTGAGGATTGGGGAAAGGACGATCTTTTTCTGTCTTAATGTTATAGTGGAACACACCTATTCTATAGTTAATAGACTCTCCCACCTATAATAAGTAGGAGTAGCAGTCGCTGAGTCGCGGAGTGAGTTGGTCAGTCAGTCGATGTCGGACGACCGTTAATCGGATATTAAAGTATCAGCCACCACAACTAGATTACTGCGTCATTACCTATTATATCAAGTTCCTAACGTTTTGTACGTCGAACCTATTTTAGGACCGACTTAGTACAAATACAAGCCTCCACTGTGAAACTACTCTACAACACTTAACTATAACTTAGCTAGCCACAAACGCCGACCCAATCGCACAAACAATATTCCTTACATCAAAACAACACATTCATACGTACCTTTTTTACTACAGTCATCATAATACCTCTTTGTCTCTATGAAAAATACTAACTAGTCCCCATATTTACAATTCATTTTCTGTGGGGGGGGGTGAATAAAATGACAATTCTAAAAAGTAGCTCCAATGAGTATTTACAAATATGAATACAAAACTATTTACAAGAAACTAAAGAAAATAATATTAGTAATAAAACACCCCACCAATTACTAAATGTGGCAGAAACACCAGTTCACTGACCGAAAGGAAAGTTCATTCGAACAATTAACATGAAAGTATTTATAGAAAAGGCATAAGGAAAATATATTTCGGCAGTGGGAAAGTTACTGAAGCCGAGATGATAGAATCTCTAAATATATAGCAGAAACAGCTGACCAGATGTGGCAGCAATATTCAAAGCAAGGATAAATAGTACTATGTAAATACGTCAGATAGATTCTGGCGAGGACAAACGTCTGGCACGACACAGGGAACAAACTTTCCTAGCAGTGGACCTAGCAATTGATTCAATATAATATTTCTACTTCATGTAAGCGGAAAACGTTAGTCTGAGAAGGTGCAACGAATCACTCTTTGGAGGTTAGCATCAGTCATGTTGATGGATGGTAAAAAGGGTTTTCTCAGACACTCAAAATGTTTTGATAATGAAAGTATAAAAATAGTTACGACATTACAATGCCCTTAACTTAACCTGGGGTTGAAATAAAGTACATTTATTCAGGGCAAGCATTTTTCAAAACCCTAACACTTATAGCTTTTGAGACATTCACTGTTCTTATAAAAGTACTCTACGATTAATTTCGTAATCAAAAAGAAATCTTCTTTTAAAAATATCCTTCCCTTTGTTGTTTTGATGACTAATTTTCGGTCAGTTCAGTCTTTATTCGGGAAAGTAAGATGCCTTTTATCAAAAAGTAGGTTGAGTCATAAGTAAGATGCCTTTTATCAAAAATTAGGTTGAGTCATAAGTAATTTGTAATGTCGAATGTATCACCCTAAGCACTAATGCAAAGTAGTTTAGAATAAATTTGTAGCACACTAACATACCTTAGTTCTTGCACGGCAGTAGCAGCATATACAGTGGATTTATAGGAAAATGTTGCTCTCCTCTATGATAATGCAATGCCGCATTCAGCAAGGATAACACAGGAAAAAAATGTGGAACTCGGCTAGTCTGTTCTAATCCAGACACCATATTAAACTTCACCTTGCACTCAACCGATTTTTATCTTTTTCGATCTCTGGGAGTAGCTAGTCCACGTAAAAAAGTTTCTGAAATCAAATTTTTTATTTTTCGAGAATAACTGTTAACTAGTTCCTTTTCTAATGGAGATGAGAAGAGATACGTTTCTGACTTTTCTCTGGAGTCTCCATGTAGAAGTGAACAGAACTGAATTTGAAATCGACTCGCATTCCGAAAGCGCTTGTCCTACCATATGCTATGCTTCCTGTAACACAAACACCATCGAATGAACTTTCTACTGCGTTAAATGGCATACGACTTCAGTTATTTGTCTTCCTGTCCTTATCAAAAACGAAATAGAAAGTACGAGATTCACAAAATGTTTTAGCCTTGATATTTCGATCAAAAATGAGTTTAAAGTAATTCCTAGGTTCTAAATCATTGTATTATATAGGACTGGTTGAAAATTTTCTTCTGTTTTTCACAATTTTCATCCTTCTTTGTTTATTTTAAACTAGATTGGTTTAAAATTTTCTTTTCTATTTATTATATATTGGATTGGTCTAAATATTTCTTCTCTGATTATCTTAAAATGGATTGGTCCAAAATTTTCTTCTTTTTTTATCCTGGATTGGTCAAAAAATTTTCTCTATCTTATACTGGATTGGTTCAAAAGTGTCATCCATGTGTGTGGCTGGATCGTATTAAAAACGTTTTGTTTTTAACTAAATTCATTCAAAGATCTTTTTTCATTTAAATATTCTTGTTTTTTCAGCATAGCTTTTTTTTAAATTTGTCACTATTTGCATTAAAAATGGAAAGAAAATTTGACAGTATTTTTAATATATGCTTTTTTTATATTGTGAAATGCAACGAATACAGCTTGAAATAAAAAAACAACAAAAAAAAACAAAGAAAACAAAAAGAAAAGAACAACATTTCTTTGATAGACGTTGATTGTCGTGGTTTCCGAATTTCAACATGTGGCACCTTATCCCCAATCCCATTGTAACTGCAGGGTTCTTTCCAGGCATGATAAGTTGAATCGTTTAAGAATTCGCCAATTGAAACGATATGAAAGCCCGGATTCGCGACCATATAACAAGGTTGACACATATAGTACCTTGAGCAGTGCTTATCAAATTATTTTTCAATCTAGCAGTCAGATATGCCCTATTTCAGGTTTATTTTGAGAGTATCTGTACTAAACATGAGGACATGATGCCTTATTCATTGTAAGGGCCGTCATCTTTGACGTAACAAGTCCGTACCATATTTGTGGCCATATAATTATATAATAACCACCCGAGAAAATATTATTTCAACATTCTTAATATTATTCATTCATGTCAGAAAAATATAATGAATATAATAAAAGCGGCATCATTTTTTTTTAAATTATATTGATTTTGTAATTAATTAATTCTAAAAACTAAAAAGAAAATGTAAAAAAAATAAAACAAAATCCTAGTCAGATATCCCGGCAGTCTCTTGTGGAGTCGAATGTAACTACTGTTTCTCTGTTTCTTGGAAACTCTCCACGTACCGGCTGACGATAATTCACGTATCGGTTCCGGTACGAGTATTACACTGTGAGTAGCACTGGCTGAGAGCATAGCCCCGGGATTAATCGAGTTTCCTTCTCGAGTGTCGATCGGCCTGAGAGTCATTGCTCAGTCCAGTGAACTATCTCGGCCTAGGATAGTCTTCTATCGTGAACTAGTGGAGAGGGTCGGGAAGGAGCCACTACGTGACCTGCTCGGCTTGTCGGCGGACGTGTTTCGATCCTTTTGATCTTGGGCGCGAGCAGCGGATTATCTCAGCATCTCTGAGTTTTCGCTTCTCTGGCGATTGTTTCGGAATAAGCTATCTTTCAAAGACAAAGCTTGCGGATTTGCCAGGCTGTCAAACTATGTGACCTTGGCTTAGAGAAAATGGTTTCGCACGCCATTCAACTCTTGTCCTCGGGTCCGCCCCCTATGGGGCCATATCGGTGAGTTGACGGCTCGTATCGCTCCCGAAAAGCTCGAGCTCATTGATCGC